ATTAGAAAGCATAGTTCTATGGTCGGGTAGTTGCAAAATAAGAACTTCACTACCCAATAATAACCGCTGTGTCTGTTATTGTGTATATGACAAATAAACATGTTGAACTAAAATCTACACAAACAATGATCTTTTGGTTTGTTTTAAAATAAGTTCGAGACGAACTCCACGAGTGACTGGTTCTTAGAAATCCCTGTTATCGTCTGTGTTGTTCACCTCAGAGATTATCTGATTTTGAATGGAGCAATATTTGACCTCACTTTTTGCTTGTGTCCTGTGACTCCTCTGTTTGTAGCCTCTGGAAGACTTCGGGGGGGAGGAAGGGGGAGTGCTCCCCGCTTCCGTCTGACGACACCCGGCTGTGACCGGTCTTTGTTGATCTTGTTCCTTCGCGTCATGAAGTAACAGCAGAGGGGAGAAAAGTGCTGATTAGTTTTAACGTGTGACCCCGGGTGCAGCAGTGACTGAACATTATATAAGACAGAATCCTCGGACTGATTTCATTTACCAGAGTCTGCAGCAGGGGCGACTGGGAGCTCTGTGGTGTGATGGGGTTCGGAGTGGGCAGGGGAACAGGAAGCGGAGGCAGAGGTTGAGAGGTCAAGGGGGTCGGCACTCTTCTCTATAAAAGACTTGGCTCGCTCCAGACACTGCTCAGCGAGCCTCAACATCCGCTCCACCTCCACCACCACCATCTCCCTCTCCTCTGAGGAGGCGGCAGAAAGACAGAAAGAGAAAGAGTGAAGGACAGAGAGGTGATTTTTTTAACAATCAACTACTGTGTTCAAGATGATTAGTTCAACTGATTAGCTACATTGTTCTGTTTGTTCCCTCAACCTCATCCTGACACTAATGTTTGAGTCTAAAGTTACAGAGCAGTTAAAGACGCTGCCTCCACTTGGTAACTTTAAATATGCAAACATAGCAAATGAAACTGGTGAACAACACAGATTAAAGTAGAATGTCACTCAGAGAGGTCACACCTCCATGAAACCACATCTAAACTCACTAGATCCAGATTTTCATTTGGATCTGCTCCAGATTTCACACACTCATAAATTTAAAAATATCAGTCCCCAAAACAAAAGACATAACTTTCCTCAAACTGTCTCTTCACATCCAAAACTAATTGATTTCAACAAAAGAGACAAAATGATAATAAAGATTTTCACCAAAGTACAAAGCAAAATATAAAACTTTGTTCTGTTCTGTTGAAGATGAAAATCATTGTAACGGTCGTTGATGTTAATGTTCCAGGCTCAGAATTCTTCATGCAGCTTTAATGTTACCACGATGGTTGGATGACTGCAACATATTTCTTTTTTCTTTTTAATTCAATTTGAACACATGTCCTTGAAAGTAAAATCAAAATCACAGGAGTCATCCAGATCTGTACAATACAGAACCTCCTGATGTGTGAGTGAAATCAAACTTCTACCGTTATGATGATCAAAACGAAACCATGCAGCAGATTAGGTAACTTTTCATAAACGCATCTGTTCAGAACTGGTATTAACATCCATCCTGAGTGATCCGACGCACTGAGGACACATTTGAGATCCAGAATATATTTTCAATGTGTGAACAGACAAACCAGGAGCTTAACACTTGACCAGATCTCTCAGGACAGTTCTTAATACCAGGTGTGAACGGCGTCTCAGTTCATGCCAGTTCTCAGGTCTTACGTTGCGACGCAGCCTCCTCCAACAGTGCATGTGATATGTAGTTGATGGTCCGGAGGTATTCACAGTAAGCGTCCTGCAGAGAGACCCCACACAGGTAAAGTGAGCGCAGCAGGAAACAATGCAACACACTCACTGAGAATTTGTCTCTAACATCGTGTGGATTCATTCAGATGTAGTTTGTCAGTATCACGTGTAATAAAATCTAGAAGTGTTGGTCATACTCTCTTTTTCATGCTTTAGATTTGACCTGACCACCTCTTGTCATAGGGACGATCAGTTTACCTTGATGTAGGCACTTTAACCTTATCCATCCTTGAGCAGGCTTTTACCAATGTCACGTGTTTGTTTCCTTGTTTGTATTTTTAAATTTATCAGAATTTGGTTTTGACTTTAATGTGTGTGACTGAGTTGTCTGTGCACTCTGCTCTCTGCCTGCCTGGAATAAAGTATTTTTAATTCAATTTAAATTAATAGATACTTAATGGGCTCTCGTTAAAACAGGTCAATGGTGAATTAATGATAATAATGACTGTGGCTGAGGGGGTAGAGCGGCCATCCTCCAACCACAAGGTCAGCAGCTGGAATTCCAGCCCATACCCGAGTGTCCTCAGGCGAGATGCTGAACCCCACACGGCCCCTCGGAGATGTTGAAGTCACTAATTGGAAGTCGCTTTGGATAAAAGCAGCTCAACCATCACAGAGTTCTGCCTTTTGTCTTGTCATTTAAAAAAAAAGGAAAATCAGCTTTCAACAGGTGCTTTTTATTTCCCATGATTCAATCTTCCCATCCTTTCCTGTTTGTGTCTGAGACTTGAATCTGCTTTTAAATAAACGATAACTACATAAATACTGACTCATTAGTATTTCACAGGCAGATCCGCATGTGAGCGTCATCACATTTATTATTATTTCTAAATGTTTCATCAGCTTCACCATAATGTTCCACAGGTGACGTCATTCAACACGTGTGAGTCTGTGTTCTTATGTTTTTTAATTCTCTTTATTCTGACGTTGGTGCTCCCGCAAGAATGAATACGTCATAAACAGCAAACGTCATTTAACAGCTGTTAGCCAACCTGCTAACCTGCTAGCAGCCCCCGCCCCTCTCGGTGTGTTGACATGTCTGCAGCCGGGTCCCCGTGTTGATGTTCGGGGGTTTAAAGTGCGTGTTGTCGTGTCAGCGGAGCGGTGGAGCTTCTCTACCTTGTGTTTGCTTCCTCCGTCCAGCTCAATCGCGACGTTCGCCATTTTCATGGCATTTTGAAGAGGTTTCACTCCGCTGTCCGACACCGCGGCCATGTTTCTTTCCGGAATCTTCTTCTTCTTCGCGTCCACTCACGGTTCATGTGTTCAGAGGTGAACACCGCCCCCTCGTGTCGCGGAGTGGAGGTGAAGTAAACCGAGACGTTTGATTGATTCACATGATTTAATAAATAATTCCAGTAAAACATCAACAACACGTTCATGTTTATAAACAGTGACTGAATGAATGACAGGTTGTTATGTAACAATAACAATGATATAATTAAACACGTCCATAAAAACAGACATAAACAAACAAACATCGCAAAAACAAGTTCGTCTCTGAGTGAAGGTGAAACTACAACATCTGGTCCTCGTGTTTAAAATGGAGCTGAATCCAACACTTTTATTTTAATGGGGTTTTATTATTATAATCATCATTATTATAAAAATTAATAATTTAAAAAACCTGCATCACCTGAACTGCTGTGTGTCTCTGTGACCAGCAGGCAGCGCTGTGGCCCATCCTGTACGGGTTTCTTCTTCCGGTAGCACTTCCGGGTTCCACTGTTTACATCTGCAGATTCGGACTGATGAAGAACTCGTCTCGTGCGGAAACATCACGCAGCTGCGGTGTCGGGACTCACGCACGTTCACGGTAAAGACGCGTCACCGCACTTTTTTTTTTAAACGATTTCCACGTTAACGGCGCCGGCGCCTCGCGCTGCGGCTAACGAAGCTAACGTAGCTACACGAACATTCAGCAAACAGAGAAGTGAACGTCACGTAAAAACTAAAACATGTTTAATAACATGAGAGCGAACATTTAAAGTGACGTCAGATTCTACGTCTCTGTTATTTGAACCTCGTGAAACTGATGAGTTCATGAATCAAATCACAGAATATGAAAACTGAGTCTTAGTAAATAAATAAACTCAGCTGGTGACAAGTTGTGGAAACAGACAAATAATCCAGAATATATTTTTAAACAAAGTGACAGGACAATGTAAATATTAAAAGAATGATAATGTGGAGATGTTAGTAATGTTGACAGAACTGTGTTTATAGAGTTTATTTTATACGCAGAGTTTTTATCATCACACACTTTCCAAACACCTTCAGCCGTCAGGGATTGAACCCTCTGGTTGGTGAGCAACCCTCTCTGCCTCCTGAGCCACAGTGGCCCAGCTGGTTTGTGATAATGTGATCTAGAGAAGGCTCCAGATGGAGGCTGTCGCACTGAGCGTCGCTGAACGTCGTAGCCTGGTGTGGCAGATGGAGAGCGGACTGCAGCTTCAGGGAGGAGGAGGTGATACCAAGATAAACACGCTTCATATGTTTACAGCGACACATCAGGCTTCCAGCGTCAGGATAAACCATGAAGAAGAAAGCCAGGCGTCCAAGGTCGTCTGAGACTTCACGGCCGACGACAGTGAGCATCGGCGAGGAGAAGAAGACGCCTGGAAACAGAGGGAGACCTCGAAAGACTGTTCCAGTGGCCACAGATGATCTTTACCACAACAACGCTGCCACAGACCAGACAGTGAACTCAGAGCTCAGTGAAGAAACACAGAAACACCCGGAGAACAAGTCCAAACCTTCAGGTGAGAGGCTCAGCGCTGACCACACAGCACAGATCTTTAAATAGACTTTGGTACGATGTCCATTTTCATCTGTGTCTTTGTTCCACAGGCAGACTGTCCACCGCTGTCTGTCGCCTCTGCCATGGAAAGTTCTCTCCACGCAGCCTGCGACACGCCTTCAACCGCTGGTCACGGGACTCCATCGATATCATAGACGAGGACTCAGATGCCGGGACTCAGTCGCCCCTGTTATTCCACTCAGATTTCCAGCGACTGGTCGGGGTCCAGTTGAACCGTGACCCCCGGTTGTCCGAGTTTATCTGCAAGAAATGCCACGCCAAGTTCTACAAGTGCCACAGCATCCTGCTCAGGTTTCTGCAGCGAGTCAACCTCCCTCCAGTTGGGAAAGAAAATCTGAAAAGCCGGTGAGTCCGAGTGAAAAATCTAATTTAGTTAAATTTTTTAACAACTGCAGATTCAGGTTGAAGTCGACAAATATGAGCAGCTGTTTGTTTCTTTTCAGGAAGAATGCAACGTGTCCGGAGTCGTCAGTAAACCTGGGTTCAATAAGTAAATAAACATTTATTCAATTCAGACAATACAAGTTAACGGTCGGCTTCACGCAGTTCTGCTGTTTTCTTCCAGCACCATCGTCCTTCACCTCAGACTCAAAGTGCCTCCACAGTCTGGTGTCCTGGGCTCACCGCCACGGCGAGGCCTGCCGCTCCTGCCCCGACCTGAAGGAGGTGCTGAAGGGCCAGTGCTGGGGCTCGGTTAAAGCCGTGTGGGGCTGCGTTGATGGTCACAGATACATCATGAACGCCACCAACACTCATCCAGCGGACGAGATGAATTCGGGGCGTGGCGGTGGCGACAGAGTGATGTCAGAGGAGGTGGAGCAGCAGGAGGATGAAGAGGACCAGCCCGGTGGGAGAGGAAGGACGCCGACAGGAAGTAGAAACACTCAACACAGTCCGCCAGCAGTGACGGTGCAGACTCAGAGCTCAGCACTGGTGGACTGGACCTGCAATACTGGAGGTGAGACGTTCACAGATCATCCGACATCACAACCAGTAACGCCACACGACTGTAGAGGGCGCTGTTGCTCTGTAGAATTGACATATTGTTGCTTTAACCTCCACAAATGTGACAAAGTTCTGTGTTTGTGTTACTGAGATTTCTCTTGCTGGTTATTTCTCTCTACATGGAAACACAACCAGTGACGCACAGATGCATCGTCACTGTTTACTGAACTGCTGACTCGTCGTTATGATTCCATGACTCACGTGGTTGTGGATTTTCTCATCTAGATTTTCTCGGTCCTGAGGAGGCATCGTCTCCCGCTCCGGCTCGGCTGGAGGACAGAACAGCTGACAGCGATTTGTCGGACAGGTTCGTCTCACAACTCGTTTTTACCTCAGAACACTTCAACACTGTAGTTTTCTTAATTTGACCAATGTAAGTACGGAGGGACGACACGTCTCCACTTCGTCCCACTGAGCAAACATAATACTAAAGTATCTGGCGTCTTGAACCGGGAGGTCACTGGAGTCAGTCTGTGCAGTAGCAGTCGTGGAGCCACAGTATCAAGGTCCCACTGATACTTGTCCAATGAGCCTGTCTCAGCTGTCAATCATGAGATGTTTGACTTCTCTCTACTTGCTGTCGTGTTTATTTTTAGTTAAGTCATTGGAGTTGATCTGATAACTGTGTTTCCAGAGTCGTCTCCGAGGACGAGTTTGAGGCGAGTAGTAAAGGAGAGTTGTTGGACGATGAGTTGTTCGAGCCGTACTCAGACAAGAGGTTGGTACCAAGTTGTCTCTAAAACGTCAGAGATGGTGGATTCAAATATTCGATACTGACGGAGACTCAAGTTGTGATCTCACATCGTTCTCTCGCCCGCTCAGAGCTCGCAGAGCGACCGTCCCCAACAAGAGGAAACAAAGCCCAAAGGTCCCGGAGGAGCCGAAAATCAAAAAGAAACCGGGGCCCAAACCCGGCTGGAAGAACAAGTTCAAGCCTAAAGGGTGCGAAGGCGACTTCCTCACAACAAGACTCTTAAACACACAAGATAAACACAAGATAAACACAGTGCACGTTAACAAACTGTCGTTTTTATTTTCAGAGAGGAGCTTCCCAACATCTACAAGTGTCCGTATCAGGGCTGCACTGCAGTTTATAGAGCTCCTGATGGTCTGAAGGTCAGTATTCAACGAGCTGACTCCACCTCACTGTGACTTCACCGCCCATGTTTAGTAAATGGAGTCAACGGAGTCTCGCCAATAGGAAACTCAGTTCACCATTTCTACATAAAGTGTAAATCCACATTGAGACAGTTCGTTGTGTTACAACAATAACATTTGTTCTCTGCAGCTTTTCTTCCATGAAAACAAACCAAACAAGGCTCCGTCAGTTTACTTATGTAACATCACTCACATTTAGAATGAACCAAACAAGACTTTGTACAGTTTTGATCAGTAACAGTCGATAACAAACCAGTGCTCAGCTGATGTTAGTGGGTTTTAATGTGTTCATCTTTTAGAAGCACATCAAGGAGCATCACGAGGAGGTGAGAGAGCGGCCGTGCCCTCATCCCGGCTGCAACAAGGTTTTTATGATCGACCGCTACCTGCAGCGACACGTCAAGCTCATCCACACAGGTGAGGCCCACACAGACTCTGGAGCTTCTTATCATCAGAGCGTTTGTCATGTTTGGTGTTTGTCTGTTTTCCAGAGGAGAGGAACTACATTTGTGACCAGTGTGGTCAGACCTTCAAGCAGAGGAAGCACCTCTCAGTTCACCAGATGAGACACTCAGGAGCCAAACCGCTGCAGTACGTAACGCCGCCATAAAAACTCAGGAGCGTTCGGATTTCACGAGTCACGTTTCATTTAACTGGAAACAAATTTAATTCACCTCCATAAATTTGACAGATTTGCTCAAAGTTAAAGATGAAGAGGCCATTATAACGTGACTGTCCTAGTATGAGCCAGACTCCGATAAGACCCATAATGCAGTGCAGCAGACTGTAAAACCAGTGGAGCGAGTCTTAAAAACAAAAACAGGTGATGTCGTAGAAACGCTGTTTTTGAATTCTCTCCTGCAGGTGTGAGGTGTGCGGCTTCCAGTGTCGCCAGCGAGCGTCACTAAAATACCACATGACCAAACACAAGGCAGAGGCCGACCTGGAGTTCGCCTGCCTTATGTGCGGGAAGCGTTTCGAGAAGGCCCACAACCTCAACGTCCACATGTCCATGGTCCACCCGGTGATTCAGACCGAGGCTCAGAGAGGCATCAGCCAGCAGCAGCAACCGCCGCCGCCACCGTACTCCGAGCAGCGCACCATCACTCTGACCGGGGAGGTGGTTCAGCAAGACCAAGACAGATGACGGTCCAGGTCTGCTGCACGAAACGTGAACTGTGGGACGGACCGGTTCTGGTGAAAAGAAGCTGCACAGCGTTGATTTAAATGTGCTGTGACACAAGTCTCTGTTCTGTTATGACGGTGCTCAGTATTCTTCAAGTTGTAAAACTCAAGGGCTTCAGATGTACATGTGTAAAGTTGTGTGTGCATTATGTAAAAAAAGTAAATAAAATGTGGACTTTTTTTTTTAAATGGCTGTTTTGACGTCATAAGTAGAATCTGCTCTTTGGAAGAAACATTTCCCTGGAGACGCTGCCAGAGCTCCAGGGAGAGGGCAAGTGTCTTTATTCAGTTGTAGCCTCACGTGTTCAGAGGAAGTCCATCTCGGGGCTGAGGCTCGGAGCACTGAGGTGCACGGAGAGAGCTGCCGTCACCTCCGGATCCAGATCTGCGCACTGTGACTCCAGCTGCGACAGGAAACCCACCGACAGAGACAGGACGGGAAAAGACAAGAGGGAGACAAGTGAACGTTGTCAGTGGAGGAGTTTAATCATGACGACAGAAGCAGATGCTCGTGTGTCGTTTACCCGTCTGAGCTGAGCGGAGGACAGAGCAGCAGGAGACGTCTGTGAGATCACTCTCAGAAGAAACTTCTTGGCTTTGCTCAGAATCTGGGACGGCTCCAGCTGACGATGCATATTTGGTTTCAGACCAACGTTTCTCAAAGTTCGATTCCAACATGACCTGATAACACGCTTCACCTCACCTGCTTCTCGGGGGGTTCAGCGGCCGATGCAGGCGTGTGTCCGTCCAGGAAGAGCTGCAGCAGCCTGATGTAGCAGAGGACGGCCGTCTGAAGGAACCCTGGACAGCTCACCGCTCGCTGCAGCAGCTCAGCGCTCAGCTGGAGCAGCAGGCTACACACACGAGGCACCAGGTTAATTACATACGAGAGAAAAGAGAAATCTTTTCTAGGTAAAAGTTACAATCATTATAAAACCAAGCTTTCAAAAGGCTCCACCAGATAAACATTTCTACAGTTCTACCCGGTTTTTGAGTTTTAAACTTAAAAATGTATTAGTGTTGATCACTATCTCCACTGCTTCACACGCTCGGGGACAAAAATCAACAATCAAACCTGTGTTCTGAGTTAGTAACTTTCAGACGAGCTGGCGATAAGCTCACCTGTAGAAAGCCCACGGCATCAGTCGAGTCAACTCTTCTGATGTCACCATGGTAACCGACTGATAAACACCTTGTTCTGGAGTCGGGAGAGAAGTGGGAGTGAAAATATTACCGGTCGGTGCAGCTGTTAGAATAAACCTGACGCGTGAGAACTGAAATCACTGATGTTCACATGTGGCGTAAAGACTGTACCACTTGATTTAAAGATGAGCAGCCAATCAGAAGAGTCCACCAGAACAGACAGAAGGTCGGAGAATAAACTCAAAGATTCTTCATCACTTTTCTCCTAAAGAAAAAAACCATGATACAGAACTTAGTTATTTCCCTTCAGTTTGTCAAAGAGAGAAGAATTAAACAAACAGGAA